TTCATTATTTTATTTTTCCTTCCCTTCCCCTATATTCGATCTGTTTTTTTTTCCTTAAGTTCCACATATGGTGAGATCATATGGTATTTGTCTTTCTCTGACTGATTTATTTCACTGCTGCAAATGGCAAAATTTCATTCTTTTTGATGGCTGAGTAATATTACATTGTATACATATACCACATCTTCCTTATCCATTCATCTGTCAATGGGCATCTTGGCTGCTTCCACAGTTTTGCTATTGTGGATATTGCTACTATAAACATTGGGGCATAGGTGCCCCTTAGAATAACTATATTTGTATCCTTTGGATAAACACTAGGTATTTGTGTTCCCAGTAGTGCAAACACTGGGTTGTAGGGTAGTTCTATTTTTAACTTTTTGAGGAAGTTCCATAGTGTTTTCCAGAGTGGCTGCACCAGTTTTCATTCCCACTAACAGTGTAAGAGGGTTCTGCTTTCTCCCCATCTTCACCAACATCTGTTGTTTCCCAAGTAGTTCATTTTAGTCATTCTGACCAGTGTGAGGTGGTATCTCATTGTGGTTTGGATTTGTATTTTTCTGATGCAGAGTGATGTTGAACATTTTTCATGGGTTTGTTGGCCATTTGTATGTTTTCTTTGGAGAAATATCTGTGTCTTCTGATTATTTCTTAACTGGATTTTTTATTTTTTGGGTGTTGAGTTAGATAAGTTCTTTTTTATACTGAAATTTTACTTTCTAGTTGTTTCCACATTGGTCACCCAGAATCCAACATGGGTTAAAAGAATAAGCCTCATTCCAATCCTACCAAATTAAATTTCCAAAATATGAAGACACCTTTTTTGGATCTTCCTACTCTTACGTACACTAATCTCTTTAATAATTTCACAATTTCTTTTTTTTAATTTCACAATTTCTTTTCTTATTTTTGACTTTGCCCCTTCACTCTTCACCTCGATAGTTCAACTGTATTTTTTATTTTATTTTTTTCAACTGCATTTTTAATTTTTTTTAATTTTTTTAAGATTTTATTTATTTATTCATGAGAGACACACAGAGAGAGGAAGAGAAACAGGCAGAGGGAGAGGCAGGCTCCATGCAGGGAGCCCAACACGGGACATGAACCCGGGTCTCCAGGATCACGTCCTGGGCCAAAGGCGGTGCTAAACCGTTGAGCTACCCACACTGCCCCAACTGCAATTTTTTAAAAGTATAGTTTCTAGAACTGGGCACACTCTAAAACTGAGTTCCTTAGTGCTGTGACAAGCATAATTTTTACTTCAATTAAACTAGTTGCTAAAATTCTATTGATACAGACCATGAATGCATTAGCTCTTGAAGGGGCTTCATAAAAATATTGAAACATCAAATACACAAATTAACCCAAATTCCAAATTACCTTTGACATTTATTACAATTTGGTGCATTTCTCCCACTATCTTCTTGAGTAGTGAGTTTTTGACAATTCTATCTGGAATCCCTGACAACCGAAGAGTCCTTCTCGGTGTTAATGACTTCATTTATTTATTTTTCTTGGAGTAAACATGAGCACGCTCAGAGATACTATATTTATTTCATAATGGCATTAAGTGCAATAGATTGATTACACTGTGTTACATGACCTCATGGCTTTTTAAAAAGTAAAATCATATTTTATGTATATATATATATATATATATATACACACACACATATGTTCTATATCTTCAAGTGGAAATTCACGTAATATAATATAGTATTTTAAATTATTTTTAAAGTATACTTTAGATACTCTGAGATGCTTTCTGAGATTCCCCTCTCCTTACCACATTTCTAGCTAATGACTTCCAATCTATTTTTGATTACATAAATGCCAGAGTAGAACCAGATGAAAGCAAAGCAAAGCAAACAACACAATGTAGCAGATCACCTTTACTTGAGATAAAGCTTCATGAGGATTAGTTGTTCTCTGTTACTTTTTTTATTGTAACATTATCAGTAGGATTGTACAAGAAGAAGTAAAATGAAAAACTCAATAAATATTACTAATGAAATAACTCCATTTCTGGTTTTTGAAAACAAAGATACTTTATATACTGATGAAACTAAATCCTTCCAGGAAAATATACTTTTTGTAACTTAAAAACCTTTCAATTAAATTGTGTTATAAATCTGTGAAATTTGAATAGAGTGTTTTTTATTCTAACGGAAATATTGACCTCCAGATTTTAAGACTTATAGTGGTCAGTTCATATGTTTATAACTAGTATTTCAAAACCAAAATAAAAATAAGGGCATTCTTTGTGATCTCTTTCATGTATTAATAATTTAAGCCAACTAGAGTTATTTATATCTTTATAAAAATTTTAGATTTTTCTTGAAATAGTATATAGGTTACCAAAGATTATTCTATTTGAATATAGGGGATAGGACTTATTGCAGCAACACTACTGGAACTGGTCCTTTGGGGTTCATATTGTATAACTACACCTGACCATGGTGTTTTCTATATGGCAGCTGGGTTCCCCTAGATCAGGAATTTGTGGCCTACAATGTTTGAAAGATGGCTTGAACTAGGCTCTTGAAAACAGCAAAATGAATGAAAATGAATATTCAAAAACTATGAATAAAATATAAAAGTAAAATATACATATAACAAGACACTTGTAAACATAGCTATATCACATATGCAGTGCTGCTAATTCTTTATCCACACCCCCCCCTTTTTTTTTTTTTGCAGAATGGAGGCATGCAGGGAGGGTCTCATTCTTGCTATGGCTGTTTTCTTTAACTAGAGCTACTCTACTTCCCCATTGCTCCCCTTTTTTGTGACTCAGTTTCTGGAGTAGGAGATAGTTGGTTCAGGTTTGGCTCTGTCACTACCAGCTATGTGTATTTGGGCAAGTCATGTAAATCCCGTGACCATCTGTATTTTCCTCCAGAAAACAAATATGTGGTCATATCTATCTTAAAGGGTTTGTGACTAAAATGCTTCCATTGGATCTGAGTTTTAGGAATCAAGGACTATGTTTTAATCAACATTCCATGCAATACAATGTCTGGCACATATTGATACAGAATAAATGGTATTTTCATAAGAGGTTGCACAGGTATGCCATGTTCAGATATGGCTTCTTATGGAAACAGTGGTTAGTCTTTGTACAGGCAGATGGCCATAGGACTGATATATAAAAAAAGTTGAGGACAAAGGCTACCACTCAGACAGTTCAAAAAGTTGGAGAGGTAAATAGAGAATAACCTCTTTGAAGAGGAGAGTCAACACAATCAGATCATCCTAGGTAAGCTAGTTGGTAAACATCAAGGAAGGCCATGTTGTAATTCTCCTATTGCCTAAACCTAGGACATAGTTTCCAAGCTCTTAAAGAATAGCCTAAATAAAATGGAAAGTATAGCAGAAACAAAGAGTTTAGAAATAAAAGATTGATACTCAAAGAGATCCCACAGATTAGCTTCCTCAGCATCTGCACCTGCAATATGTCATCAGCAACTAGAAGTTGAATAAAGGAGATGAAGCCCATGGCTCCCGGGTGGTTTCTCCCTCGAGGTGCTCCTTGGGACGGTTTTCTGATTATAAGCCTAGTGAGGGATGCAGCAGGGGAGCCCCTGGAGAGCATTCATATGTGTTCCTTGCTGAGGGGAGACACAGAGGACTGGATAGAGCAAAAACAGCTGTAAACAGGTTCTGCCTCCAATAAGGGCACACAGAAGGCCAGGGAGCAGCTGAGTAACTTATAGAGGATGGAGCAGGGGAGTGCATGGAGGTGGGATCAATTGACATGCTCTGTGAGCTTGAGCAATTGCCATAGGACGGACATAGGCAGTGCAGGAAGTTATGGAGTGAAATCTCTTGGGTTGCAGGAGGATGCAGGCCATCAAAGCTGAACAAGGCTAGAGATGGGCCACCAGATGTCCAGAGGCATATAGTGGATAAACACAGGAACATAATGTATTGACTAGTTTCTACATTGCTTAAAACAAACAAACAAACAAACAAGCAAGCAAAAATCCTACTTCATATTCTTGTAACACTTCTGCACATGACCTTATAATCCTTTTTCACCATGAGGAACAAAACTCGATCTGAATATTGAACAGGGAAACCAATTTAATTCTTTTATTTTATTTTTTTTTTATTTATTTACGATAGTCATACAGAGAGAGAGAAAGGCAGAGACACAGGCAGAGGGAGAAGCAGGCTCCATGCACTGGGAGCCCGACGTGGGATTCGATCCCGGGTCTCCAGGATCACGCCCTGAGCCAAAGGCAGGCGCCAAACCGCTGCGCCACCCAGGGATCCCACCAATTTAATTCTAATCCTAATCCTTTGGGAATTCCAAAACAGAAAAATTCAATATAGAATTTAACAATTGCATTGCTATCTGAAATTGAAACACACATATCAAGAAATCTTTGGAAAGCAGATCTATTTTGGTCTGATCCTGACGGTAGTTGAGAGGAAAGTTTTTAAAATATTCTCATCAATCTTGATTTGTCCAATGCTGTGAACTTGATATTTATTCTATATTTATGTAAATATTACTCCCAAATGCCCTGTCTGTATTTAAAGAAATATATAGAAGACAAATGCATAATATCAAAATAGAAAGAAATATATGAGATTAGACATGTTTTCTTACGAATGCCCATAACCAGTGTTGAATTCCTTGCACATAGCTTTCTGGTATTAATCAAGGACATTCATTACTTGTTACTCTGAGTCACATGGTTTATGTAAGACTGCTTTGTTGCAGTCTTTTTTCTTTCAAGGATATAAAAGTATCAAGTACTTCAAATGCCAAGAGTGATGTGGTGGAAAAAATGTATAGCTTTATAAATTAAACATTACACTCCTGAATTCTGGTTATCTTACACAAAAGTGGCAATCTTTTCTTAGCTAAATCACCAAGATTTGGGGAAGAGTGATGGGGCTACCATGTTCTTCCATCACTTTTTCAGGCATCCTTCAATTCCCAAAGGCTCAGATTATGAAGTGGAGATAATGTTTGCACATTTGCTTACCACAGGTCTGTGGACGTCCCAGAATGCTCTTTCTTGGCTATCCAGGATCTTCCTTTCAATCTTGTCTCTCTTCTTGTCCACTCTGTCAACATCGTAACAATGAATAATAAGTAATGTTAATTGTAGCCCCTCTATGAACAAAGGTCACAACACAACTTGAACAAATTTTCCAAAAGACTCACAAGGACTCACTTTGCTTGTGCTTCTGCTTGCATAAAAATGAACTCCCACTTTCGAGCAAATGCTCTCTGCAGCCTGGCCAGGCTCTCCTGCAAAATATACCACAGGTGAAGATGTTCTGGTATTCACTTTCACTGCTCCCTTCTCATTTATCTACTGTGTGAATTTATCAAGAAAACAAATACCAAATTCTAACGTACTATGTATACTTTGGTTCTCCATGATAAGTCATGCTTACTGAATGTAGCTCATCTTCATTTATATTAACAGAGGAAACATGGAAACCTATCACAAATATTAATTTTATGAATAATTGACTTTAGAGAACCCAGTAAACATCTAAAATACTAACATTATTTTGTTTAAAAAAAAAGTGCTCAAGACTAATCCATTGGATTTTTCTGTGCCATTTTAGTGAGGAACAGGAAAGCAATACTTTTCTACTAATGATTCTGTCAGTCTATCCAGTTCCTGATAAGAATGTAAACCCTCAGCAGCCTATTGCCATTTCTAGTCAGTGCTTCAAAGTCAGTAAATCACAAATAGCAATTGTCTGAACAAATTACATCAGATTAATTTTATCTGCTGATGGTGGTCAAGTTGAAGGTTTTGCAAAAACTATTTACCCATAGCAAATGCTCTTTATTTCTCTAAGTTTGGATGTCTTCACTATATATAGGACACATCTAATGTTTTTACCCTTATGCCAAGGTTAGCAAAACATGTTTGTCCCTTCTCTTGTGAGTTTGTGCATCTAGAAGTTCACTGTCTCCAGTGTGAATGATGAGACGAAGCAAGCAGGTCAGGGATTTGAGCCATTCTGATGCCTGATCCCTAGAATCTGGTCCTTAAAATCCAGGGGTGAAAAGTCAACAGAATCTCCAGAAATGACCATAGACTTTATTCCTGTTCATTTTATGACTCTCTTTGCCAGAAAGCCCTTGGTACTTACAGCTTCATAGTCTGCTAGTTCCAGCCTTGCCTTATTTTGCATTGTTCTCTTGCATAGGTAAACCGCTGTAAGGAAAAAAAAAATGAATCGTTTCTTGCCTGCTTATTAACTGAAGGCACTCACTAAAAATAAAAATATAGCATTATAAATCAAGACATCTTGGTCTTTATTACTTTTTTCAGTCATAATTTTCTATCTTTATTTTTTTGACAAAAATAAATAATGGTAGCATTTTTACTGAAATTCAAACAGTGGTACCTATGAGAAACTAGCTATGTTTAGAAAGTTGGTAACTATTTATTTTATTAAAATAAGGGGGAAAATGTAGCCCTCTAAATAACACCTTAAATGAACTTAAACATCTAGATATACAAATAACACTACTGTGTTAAAAAAGAATTGCATGAAGAGGGAATCACTGGCACATTTAATTATTTTCATATTCTTCTGTCAACTGAAAGACTCTATTAATGTAAACTGAAGGCTTCTTGGCGTCTCCTTTGCTATATTTTGCCATCATCATTTGTTTTGCCACTAGGAGAGAGGAAACTATAATATCCTTCGTAACTACAATATGACTACCTTTTAATTCCATTTTTCTGAAGACTCAATATCCTTGCTGCCAGGGAAAGCCCACTTGGGCAGCAGATTTATGGGATGGGTGCCAGAGGGAGAGAAGAGGGCTACAGCAGCACCGTCATTGAAAAATCATATTTCTTTAGTTATTTCAGGATTTTTAGCAACTCTTAGGATAATATCAAGACATTCAGAGCCCTCTGGTACAGTCCTGATTTCCAGGACATTTCCATAATGTGATATTTGAGTCTCATGAAATTCAAGATAAACTATATATTTTAGGTGCTGAATAAATCTGCTGGATAGGACTGTCAAATACTACTTTTTGTGAGGTTAGTTCTGGGGGCGTCCTTGTAATTACCACCATTGAAGTAACCTGTGTCATCCTCAATTTTTGATTATGAAGTCCAGCTGATATCACTAAGGAACTATCTTACACAGAAAACCTGAAATCACTGCAAACACTGATGCTGTGTATTCAATTTGCTCTAAAGTTTCCTTTATGAAGGCCAAAGCCAAGGAGAAAGCCAACCATGAACCTATGATAACATTACTACGGACACCCAAGAACCTAGGAGATAATCTGAGAACACATCTTTCTACAACTGATCATGGGAATTTTATTTTTTCACTAATACTAGTAATTTTCAAAATCACAAATTCTCAAAATTAGTAAAAGTCAAACTTCAAAAACAAAAATGACATGATGCATTAATTTTCTAATTGGCCATAGTTTTCACTCACCCTTGAAGAGACTCTTACTGTAGAGGACAATGATTTTAAGAAGATATCTAAAATGTTCTCAGCAGTTGGTAAAAGAGACTGTAGAGTTTGTGCAATCCCCCTGAGGGTATCTCTTCATGAAAGAAAGATAAAATCTGCCTAAATATCTAAATTAAATAACTTCAGTTTTCCTAGCTTACCTTTAATCAAATTTCACGCCTGAGCTACCCACTCCTTGGGTCAGCCCTCCTCCATGTGTCCTGCTGCACCAGCCACTACTTGTTCCATTGATTCTGGTCATCTGATCTTTGCTCTTTTCAAAATCAGACCCCCTCTGGGAAACATATTTCTACCCTCATTAGGTAAACTAATCAGGAGCAGAGTGATGTTTTTTAGATGGCTGTTCACTAAGAAGTTACACACCCTTTAATATTGCTATCCTTTAATGTAATTTTTCTTAATTCTCTAGGAAGCAAAACAAAGGCATGGACAGGCAGCACCGGGTATACAGTAAACACAGTAGTTGTTCCACATGGATCCATTAAATGAGTGAATGATGAATGAATAAATGAATGGGATCTTTTTATAAGGAGATATTTAGCAGTTAAAACAATTCATGATTTCTACCAGTCTTTTTGGTAAAGAGGAAGAAGGAAAAACCTAGGTTAGCAAGTAGGGAACATTCTGGACACTGTTAAAGGCACTGCAGATACAATTATGACCAAAAGGTCCCAAACCTCACCAATCCAGTGTGGACACAGGACAGTAGACAGGTACAGATGATCCTTTTATTCTTTATCAGCAGAGTGTTAGCATTGAATGGGATGCAGATGAGAAGGAGGTCCATGTAAATAAAAGAGGGTTTCAATTCCAGTGATTTTACAATTTACCAAAAGTTTTAAAAAATGAGAGTAGCTCTGCATCTTCAAAACTATGACTCAGGTCAAGTGTTTTTGTACTAATCCCTATTTTCTTAGGTGCCAAAAGTGCTCTATGGGGCGTCCCATATGGACCTAGGCCTGTGTGCAAGTGATCTTTAACAGAACCCTTGTGTTTTTTCTGCAGCGCCAACATATTGAGAACAACTAAAAAAGCCATTGGTGGATTTTTTTAATGTTGTCCATTATTGAAGATTTAATTTAAATCTTAAGTTTAAATATATCTTTCTGCAGTAGTTTCAGACCATATGATACAATTTTGAGGATCAAACAAACAAGTAATTTAATAGGAGGGTATGCCACTGAGTGGAACAAAGTTTGAGAAGGCCTACCGTATCACTTTGACTAAAATAGCTGTATAGTAAATGCATACAATCTGGTGTGAATACACCTTAAGACTGAGGTATCAAAGTTTCTGGATCACACACCTAACTTAACAGAAAGTGAATACTGGCATGAGTTTTTTTCCATGAAATTTCCTAAAGTTCTCTGAGGTAGAATAGTCTGTTGAACAAAAACTAGTACCTCTTATTTTTTTAAAGAGTTTATTTATTCATGACACAGACACACACACACACGACACAGAGAGAGAGAGAGAGAGGCAGAGACACAGGCAGAGGGAGAAGCAGGCTCCATGCAGGGAGCCCGATGTGGGACTTGATACTGGGTCCCCAGGATCACACCTTGGACTGAAGGTGGCGCTAAACCGCTGGGCCACCGGGGCTGCCCCCAAAACTAGTATCTATGACAAAAGTGTGCAGAGTTGAATCACAGAGGTCTGTGAGAAAATTACTAAGATCCCAATATCTAAACATGGAAAGGACGTAACTGTATAATTCCAAAGATTAGAAATACAATTGCCACGTGAATATTAAGTCATACAAATATAACACATATTGTCACGAAACTATCTTTTTTATTGTTTCAAGTTCATTGTGTGAGCAAATTCTTCCCTAGTCCCTGAATAAAAACTCAAGCAGCATCTACAGTCTTGCTCGTCACTCAGGTAATTCAAAGAGTGAGCCCCAACTTATTAAAAAGGGTGTCTATCCCAAGGAATATTAAAAAATTCAAGCCTGGTTTACAGTCTTGCGGTCTTCCCCTTTCCCTTTTTCCCCCAGTTTCTGTGGTGAGAGAGATGTGACCACCGTCCTTGTCCACCTTGTGCTTCTGCGCCCCCACCAAGAATTGCTGACCAAGGCTTCTAACTTTATGAAGTTGGAATATAGGGAGGAAGCAGGATGCTGCCATTCTTTCTTGACTGATAGCAGCATGGTGATCTAATGCTGCCATTCTCTGGTCTTGGCAGAGTTGTAAGGCAGATTATGTTTTTCATATTACTTTGTGGGATGCTTTGGAGAAATCACACGCTGTCATTGCTGGGAATCTCTCATCTGTAGCGTCTTTATAAGGGCTGATCACTGCCACAGCCCTTGGACTATACCCCTGGCCTCTCTCTGTCTAGGCTGTTCTCCAGGAGAGGACTCTGTCATATCTGGCTTAGATTGCACACAAGAGAAACACTCATGCAGTTTTTGTCCTGAAAGTAGGCCACGGAATATAGCCATTTCCCTTTCAATTCCTCCACCCATAACTGGATAGCCTGTCTCCTGCCCCTTATAATTCCAAGGCCTGCAGTTCATGATCCATTGTGTTCCCAGGACTAGGTGACTCCTGTCAAGCACTCTCAGAAAGCCCTTGAAATTTCTGTCATGGGACTTGAGATGAGGGACATTCTCACTCATTCTTCCCACTTGGGGCTGATGGGGGCAATGACTCCTGACATCCTAACAGCTACAAAATCAGTCTTTAAGCCAACATCTTACCCTTTAATGCCCTCAATGGGAGCTGACAGCAGCTAGTGTGACAATTTGTATGTCAGTCTAGCTCAGCACTTTCACATCTGGTGTTGATCCACTTAACACGTTGGCTGGATTTCCATTTTAGCATCCTGTTACGAAAATCACTTTCCACTCATTAGAAGAGCAGATATGTTACTGATTGGCAATAACCCATTCTGGCCATAAAGAAGTGAAACAGCACTGAGTGTGAGCACCTAACAGTGAAGTCTTTTTTTTTTTTTTTTTTTTTTACAGTGAAGTCTTTTTGAAAAGAATTTTGACAATGAGTAATCACGGCCATTCTTCCAGTACTTGCACTTCTGAGAATGTAACCCAAGGAAATAGCATGAAATACAGAAGTGTAAGTCTTCATGATACAGAATATAGGAACACAGTGGGGCAAGGAATTCATGTGTATTTCTTCAATGACATGTTGTATCATCATTAAAAATGATGCACACAAATTGTTTTACTTTAAAGTTGAAATAATTTAATTTTTAAAATCCTTATTACTCATTGTAAAAGTTAAGGCAATTCAGAAAAAATATAAATATTAAATCTTTTTTAAAAAGATTATTTATTTATTTACTCATGAGAGATACAGAGAGAGGCAAAGACAGAGGCAGAGGGAGAAGCAGGGAACCTGATGTGGGGACTCGATCCCAGTACTCCTTGAGTCGAAGGCAGATGCTCAACCACTGAGCCACTCAGGCGTCCCAGAAAAAAGTATAAATATTAAAGCAAAAATCATTCTAATCTTACTTCTGTCATTATTTTGCATATATTCTGGCTTTTTCCATTCTATACAAATCTACTAACATACACATGACTGTATTTATATCAAAACTTTATCTGCATATATTTATTTAAAACAGTACTACATATGCTATCTTATGAGCTTTTACCTTTAATGTTATATTTGGACAATTTCATGTCAGTAAGTGCTATTCCACAATTTTGAAAAATTATTTCATTATAATCCATTTA